AGTCTTTGCTTTTCAACTTTTGTTCTTTCACTTATTGGTTCTTCAAGCTTTGTTCTTGTAGGTACCATGGGGAGAACTAAATTTGCATATTTTTGCAAACCAAAAAGAAAGCATGTAGTTGAATTTCATTTGTTTAGGATTGAGTCTAGTGTTTGCATATAGGTTGCATTGCATTTGCATACGGCATCATGATGAATTATCCTTGTAAAATGCCTAGTGTTTAGAGATGATTTCAGTGTTTAAGTGGTTAGTTGTTTGATGCATCATGAGAAAGCTAGAAGTTAAGACTAAACCATGCTTGGATTGCTAAATTTGATGCTCTTATCTCATACTGAAAGCATTTTTTCTTTGAAAATCAACTCTATCAACTTGAACCTTAATCTGAACTTTTACTTATCATGTTTGTGCATAGAAAAATGAATTCATCGCTACCATATACATATTTGGATCATCTTTTTCCTTCTTACCACTCTTGTTGATCCAAATAGCGGATCCTCATATTTATGGGACAGTTTCTCCACTCCTATAGCCAAACCTCTTGTTGAGCTTAAACACTATCTTGAGAGTTGTGAGGCCTTTGCATATAATTTTCGAATTTTGTCTTGGCAAAAAGTGTTAGGAATAAGGCTGGCAATGAAGAGCTCTCTTGTAGATATCAGCTTGCATCTTGAGCTTGATTCTAGGTTAGGAGTTTGGGATAAAAGGGTAGAAGTTAAGTGGTTTGGGTTTCATGTTTATATGCTTTAAAAGAAGAAGGAAATGTATGAGATGGTAGTATGGGGAAACAGTTAGCATTTTGGTTAAGTAAAGGGAAAAAAAGCTCTAAGTGTTCAAAGAAGGAAGGCGCCAATAACAAAGCTTTAAAAGGGTCAATCAAAATAAGAAAATCAGACCCAAGGCAATCCACCAAAGATGAAAAATGGCGCATAATCAACAAGAAGGAGCAAGTCCCAACAAAAAGAAGCAACCACACAAGCAAAAATAAGAAGTTTCCCCAGCCATGAAGTAGGAGAAGGGTTAGAGTTTGGGAAAATGGTAGATTTAGAGGTTCACTTTGGGGTTTAGAAGATCTTAGGATTCATCTTTGGGTAAAAAAAATAGAAGAGAGCTTTGATTTGCATGCATAAGTGTGCTTTTACCTTTAGCATTTTGCCTAAGATAGAATCATTATCATTGAGTGATCCCTTATATTTATAAAACCTGTGCTTGAATGAGATCATTTTAATCTCATAACCTTACCCTTTAAACCAAATGTCTTTACTTGATTTGCACAAACTTGATTCATGGTTTTGAGCTTAATGAATGTCAAAGAGTTGATTGATATGAGCATTTGTCTATGCTGAGATTGTGTTTGCATCCTACAACTAGGCACTTAAGTGTTGACTTTATCTCTTTACCTTTACATTTTTGGATTTTGAATGCCCACTTTTAAACCTCATCCTCCATTTGTCTTAGTTTGTTTGCTTGAGCACAAGCAAAAGATAAGTGTGGGGGGTGTTGATATCTCATGCTTTTACATCAGTTAGGCTTGCATTTAGTTCATGTTTTGGTCTTCTTTTGCATCTTTTCTTTCTCTTTAGTCCCATTTTCTTCTCCTTTTAGACTTAGGTTACATTACGGTTATAATTTGCATTTTTTATGCATTAAGGATGTTTTTAGGTACTTAAGAAGCCAAAAGGAGCAAGGAGGAAGTGTGGGAATGGTTCAAGAAGTTAGCCAAGCTGAGAAAGAGCAAAAGGAGCTAAGGAGGGCGATTTCTGGTGGTCCATCAAACAAGACCTGATCAAGCCCATCGATCAGGAGTGATGGATGGGAAACCATCGGATGCTCCATCAACCAAGTTTATCGGTCAAGACTGACCGATAGGTGTCCATCGATCAAGTGTATCGATCATGGAGTGATCGATGGGAATGCAACGGATGTACCATTGATCAAGGCCATCGATCACTCTAGATCGATACAGACCAGCCAGAACTTGCTATTATTTACACTTTTGCAACTATTCTAGGGAATTTGTCTTTTAGTATAAATAGCTTGTTCTAAGAATTTTTCATTATCAAGTTTTGTTCTAGCTTAGTTTTAAGGGTTTTCCATCTTTGTAAGAACAAGTTTATCATTTTAATCAAAGTTTTGCATTTGTCTTTTAATTTCTTCTCTAATCTGCTTCTTAGTCATGATTAGCATCATTTACTCTTGTGATTTGGTGTTAACTATGGTGATTAGTGAGTAGTTACCTTAGGATTTCTAGATGTGGTAGATTAGGAGAATTTAGAGGCTTGATTAGGATTTGTTAGTGTTTAATATGATTGATTTCTCTCAATTAAACTGTTATTAAGCTATATTTGTCTTGATCACATGAATCTAGAACTAGCCTTCATTTTATGTCCACCAAGTGTTTGATGAAATGTTGATCTTGGTTAATAGAGGATTTACTGGGCTTCGCTCAAAAGATTGACTGTTTGAGAAGTATTTTCACTTGAATAGAGTTGGTTATTCATGCTTGTTGATTGTTCTAGCACTAATTAGAGTTAGTGCTTGTTAGGATGATTAGCAAAGTGTTATTTGTCAAGAGATTGAACTTAATTTGCTTGATTGTGAACTCTATGTCTAGGAATCAGCATTGATAGCTTGTTTTCTTGATCAGTGATGTTTCAAACAACCTTAGTTAGCCTTTGAATTCTCCAAAGTCAATAACCACATCTAGAAACTTGCTTTCTCTTATTCAATTTCGAATTTTGTTAAGTGCTCTGTTTATTTGCTCTATTTTGCTCATTTATCATTGTTAAACTGTTCTCTTTTGAGTACTGATTGGTGTTTGATCACTTAGATTGTTAGTTTAAGTTGTGTGAGCAACAAATCTTCTTTGAATTCACTTGACTTAAAGATTTCTGCTTGCAACTCTATTGGCATCTATTCATAATTCCCTTTGGATTGATAAATACATATGCTATACTACAATTGACTAGTACAAGCTTAGGTGATTGCTTCTAGTCCTAAAAAAACTTGTATCATGTGGATTGATAACTTGAGAATCATTGCCATATTGTGATGAGTGTGGCTAAGTTCTTTGATTAAAGTTACATCAAGTGAATCTTAGAATTGCAAACATGGACATTGGTTTGCTCTTACAATATCACTTTTTGATATGTTCCCATCTTGAAACTTTGATTCCACCTTGTTCATATTGATTGCTTGAGGACAAGCAAAGAACTAAGAGTGGGGGAGTTGATAGCATGCATTATTACATCATATTAGGCATCATTTAGTATATGTTTTCACTTCAACTTGTCCATTTTTAGTCCAAAGAGTCTCATTTACCTCCATTTAAGACATAACATGCATATAGATTAGGAATGCATACATGCTTGCATTTTGAGTGTATTTCAGAGCTTTTGAGGTGCTAAGGAGGGTACTAGGAGAATGGTGGATCGAGTGGAGAGGAGAAACCATGCTGGAAACAAGTTTTTCTAATCGTCTAGAGTCCACATTGTGGAGATACATCGTCGAGGGCACGTCCTAATCTGCCTGGTGCATGTACGAAGGGTGATGATCGATATGCTAAACCAAAGGCTGCACCGAGCAGGCGCACCATTGAGGCTCAGCTATCCGAGCCCGATGCATGAAGACACAGGACATAACGTGGAGGTGCACCGAGGAGGGTGATCTGAGCTGTGCACGATGCGTACCACAGTTGAGACTTCAGCCGACCGAAGCATCCGACGCAACATCTTCAGCACGCAACAAGCAAGCACACTGTGGAACTTCCATATAAATAGGTTTGGCCTAAAAACATCTTATCTTATGCTTTATCTTATCTTTTTCCATTAAAAAGCTTTTCTTTGTACCAAAGACTTCCCTTTTCCTCAAGAATAATGTTTTGATTTTGAGGTCTACTTAATAAAGTTTTACATTTGTCTATTGATTCTTCTTGCTTATTCATCATTAATCATGTTTAACCACACTTTTGTAGATTTAAATATGATTAGCGAGTAGTCAATTTTAGGTTTGAGATTAAGATAGATTATGGTAGTTTCAATGATTGTTTAAGATGTTAGATCATTGTTTATCTCTTCTTGTGTGATTGTTCTTAAAGCCAAGTACCTCCTTTTTGCCTGAAATAGATCATAGATATTTTTTTGCCATCTAGGTGTTTGATGAAATATTTGAGAGGTTCATTGCTTGAAAATGGTGTTTTTGTTGTCATGACTCATTGCATCTATCAGTTCTTGCATAATTAAGCTTAATGCTAGAGTACTTAAGAGATAAAGAAATCACCATTAGATATTGATTATGCATGGTAGTGTGAGTTGATGTTTGATCCGTTGCATAAAAGATTAGTATGCTTAGCCTAAGGGACCGTCTAAGGTACTTGGCTGTACATACTTTGTTAGTTAATGCGTGCTGATTGCGTTTCCTCTATTGACCGTGAATTAGGAGTAATAGGTTTAGTGGCAAGAAATTGGATTAGACTAAATTAGTAGTCGTTGCTTAAACATTATTCCATTGATTGTTTCTTTTACACCTTAAACATTACTTGGAATCATCTAAGTCATATTGCTTTAGTCATAGACCTTGCCTTTTAATAATTCGAATTTGCTAAATTATTGCTCTGTTTTGCTTGATCATAATATTAGTCTTCTTAGTTTTAAATCATTTGGTCTTTAGTGTTTGTGATTTAGCTGATTTGGTTACATGTTTACACTTGCTTGATTGTTGAGTATGAATCACTTTTGAACCCCCCCCCCCCCCCCCCCTCTTAGTAGCCTATTTTAATAAGATAGTTGTATATTCTCTACACCTTTCAAGATTTGGATTGATTACTCTTTACTTCCATAATACAAGTAGTGCATAGAAATTTCAATAAGCAGCCATAAAAACCTGCCATCATCAATCTTATCATTTTTCAGCTGGTATTAAATTAGAATAGAACAGCCTGATAATTTAAGAGGGTGCTTTTTTGTTCCTTTTTTCTAGCCATTGGTCTGAGAACAAAAGCAGTTGCCGAGAGAAAGACGACAAATTTATGATATAGAAAAAGGTTCTTGCGAGTTGCGAACATACATAAAAGCTTTTATTGCATTTTTACCAAACAATCAAAAACAAATACATAACATAACTTTGTGTACATACATACATTATACATATGTTACGTCCTTCACCAAGAACAAATCTCCACCCATATATAAGAGAAACAATAAAAAAGGAGAGTAAAAACGTAAACATTACAAAAAAGATAAATCAATTGACAGAACAAGTGGAGAGTCTCCTTTCTTAACAACGAACGTTTTGAGAACAATCCCGGCCGGAGTACAAACTTCAATGGCGTAAGTACCATGGTAGCCTCGAAAGATGAACTCTGATTCATCATTGATGATCCCATATGATTGAGATAACCATTCTTGTTTAACCTCCATAAATCTTTTCCCGGCTTCGTTTACATCTCCTTCTCCCTCAACAAGATTCGAGTTCTCTCTACTCATAGATAGTTCCCAGAATCCCCACAGCATTATACCTGTTAAAAAACCGTAAGTGACATGTGATTTACACTTTTAGCTAGATATCATGTAAAATAGAGTGTTAACATATATAACTGCAATATTTAAGACGAAGTCATTCATTTATATGACGTAAATATATAATGATACCTTCGACTGCAGGGTGGGCAAATGCTTCCCACAACATGACTTCAAGATCTTCTCCTCTAACGTACTCATTGCTCGAAGAGACATCAAGCTCTGTGAACCAAATAGGATGACCAAGAATAGAAAGCTTATCAAGAGCAGAGCAAACAATGGCTCCAACAGGACTATCAATGTGTCCTTGGATTCCAATTCCTCCTACGGGTGCTCCTTGCGCTTCCAAATCAAGAATAAGTCTGATATACTTCTCCGGGGATGACCGTGTGTCATCACCGTCCTCCACATGATAATCATTCACAAAGAGAAGAGCAGATGGATCAAGCTTGTGTGCGATGTTGAACATCAATGCTCTTACACCTTTTCCAAGTCTGCCTTGGTAGAAAGAACCATGAAGCATCTCGTTGTTCACGTCGTAGTGTTTGAATTTACCTTTGTATCGCGTTAGGACATCCGTGAGACGCTTCTGGACCGCATTCATCAGCTCGGTTTTGTTGAGCTCACGAACCCATGGCTGAACAGTGGACTCGACTTCCCAGAAGATGCAGTGCCCTCTAATATTTATGTTGTTTCCGATACAGAGGTCTAACATGTCGCCTGCGTCTTGGTAGTTCAGCTTTCCACGTTCGGCCTCAGTCCAGTACCACTTCAGCTCGTTTCCAAACACTGCCCAGTTAAAGTTCTTTGTGAAGAAATCTACAAAGTCTTCATTGTCTATGTCTGTTCTGTTAATGCACGTTCCTACTGGGAAACTGTTGTACGTTTGCTTCACTTTCACTATGTAAGGAAACAAGTCGCATGAGTCATCTAGTCCTGAGAATTTCAAGATGATGTCGCGCTTACGTACCTATCAAGAAACAACATTCTTGAACTCAGAAACTTTGGATGCAAATGATTGCACATTTAGAAGAATGAAAATTAGTAAAATGGTGGAAAAAGGTTTTAACTCATTGTAATCAGATAAAGTCGAAAAATGAACCGATTGAATGAAATTCCACTCATTTTTTTCTACTAAGAATTATTCTATTGGTTCATGAGAACCATTTGAACCTTTATTATGTACTGCATATTTTAAAAAAAAATTGAAGAGAATCTGAACCTGGTCAACTTGTTTTTTGAGACATCTGAGACGTTCTCGACGGTCCACGGGAAATATTTGTAGTCCTGAGATCATCAGATCAATACCAGCTGCAGGACCTTGAACGTAAACCATGACGTTGTGCGGCTGCTTCTCGAGTCTAAACGATCCACCGATCTCATGCCATGTGTCACCAACGGTGACCTCGACTTGTCCTCCGTTGACCCATTGGTTATCTATGCTCAGTGCAATGTTCACATTCTGAGGACTCAGACCACTAGTCACTCCCACACCAATCTTGACCCATGCTGAGATTTGATATGTCAAGAAGAGTTTAAGTTTATCGGTTAACATCTGAGCCGGGCCCATCCAAGTCTGCGTTCGATTGGTCACGTGGATGTAATTTCCACTAAGAGGTTTGTGACGACCGAGCGTGTCTCTTGCCATTGGAGGCAGAGTGCGAGGAGCGCCTTGTCCAATACTCAACTTGCAGTTTCCTAGGGTAAACCATGGTTGAGGTTCCCTATCGCTCACTTCATTGTTTTCGACTATATTGACTCCAAAACCGGGATTCTGCCAAATAGCGAAAATAGAAAGAGATTAGTATTCCCTAAACTCAAACAAATATTTGGAACTTGCAACTGCTATGTGAATTACATAGTGTCTAACGAAAAGCTATCTCTAATCTTGATTCAATGAATGATATCTAAAGAGTGACGTGTAAAAAAAGAAAACATATTATCCATTATTAATTAACATAATTTCAATTTTTAATTAGATTATCACTTTTTTTTATATATAAATCAAATTTTTGTTCATGTCTTTTATAATTGATTTCATATACCATCTTAAAAATATTTATTTGTTTTTCAATCTTCATACACTTTAATTCATTTAAATCTCAGTATTATAATAATTTATATGTTTCTAAATTTACCGTTTTAACATATTTTGTATATATATTTATTCATTAATTTTAATTTCCTTTTATATGTTTTGAAATTTTTTAAATTTAACTGTATTTAATATTTTCAGTTTTTATTTTTTTTTCTCTAAATTTTGTATGTAATTTGTTATCTACTTTTGTGTTTTATGGTTTCATATGTCGGTGTTTTATATTTTAATTGTTGACAACTTCTAAATTTATTTTGTGGAATAAATTGTCATTTTCTTCAAAAGCACTGAATTTAAATATATAATTTGTTTTGAAAATAATGTTTAATTAACTTAGAAAAAGTTGAGAAATACATATAGTATTTATATGTGTATAATATTATTAGATTAAATTTAAATTTTGTTTATTTTGTATTTATGTTATAATAATTGTTTTAAATATTTAAAGTTAAATTAAATGATTTTCATTTACAATTAATAGTTGGGCACATGTTTATTTTCTACTTATTTTAAATTATTGATTTGTTGATTTTAACCTGTAAAAATATGCTGATATGTCATTCCCATTCATCTATTATATAGCAGATATATTTAATAATTATTACAAAAATTATTTTTGAAAATGATAACCAACAAACTAAACTTCTCCACTTCACAAAAAATGTTATTTTACAGTATTACATAAATATTAAGATAATTTTTTTCAAATACTATTCTATCCTTTATTAATTAATATATTAAAGAAATTTCTCTTTGTAACAAATATGGACCTATTATCCAAAATCTTTCTTTACTAATATAAAACGACAGTTTCTACTAAACAAAAATTAAAACAATAAAATAATATTTGTTTTATGATTAGGGGAAAGTATTAATCAACCACACATAAAAAAACTGAGGAGAAGTAAATGATGATTGAATTAAAGAAAATGCACAAAAATTCAAAAATCGTTGATTTTAAAGTAATTTAAAGTGTTTTTTTGTTGAAATTTATACAAAAAGTAATTATTAGATTATTAAATTAAAAATGCGAATGAAAAATAATTGATTTTAAAGTAATCTAAAGTTTTTCCTTAGAATTTAAACTAATTCTATTAAAACCATAGCAAAATAATAAGAAATGGCTCTATCCAGTGTTTTAAGTGAGATTCTATTACATTAGTTCCAAATGATAATACTAGAGAAGCTATTGCGAAATTGAATAAGACTAAAATTAAGAAATTAATAAATTGAATAACAATAATTCAATAGAAAACTTAAAAATAAATCGAATAACAAGAAAAGCAGAGAATTTCTGGAGAAACATTTGATTCAAACTTTAGTGCATAACTTTCCGTTTTTTTGTTTTGTTTCTAATCCGGACCGTAATGATTGTTAAAATAACCGCACAAATCTTCCATCTTTTCCATTTGATCCGGACAATTTGTGGAGTTGTGGTATCAAATCATTTATCTTTTATTTTTATTCACGATCCAGACCACGGATCGTGTTATCGAGTTCAAAAGCATCGTTCACGGTAATTGAACTAACCTCGTAGACGGGTGGAGGCGACGGACGAATCCTTCGAGCATGTTTGACATCTAAAGTGTTGAGGAGAATGTCAGCTCCGGGAAGTGGACCCTCAAGGAATAGTATTACTCTAGTTGGTGAACCATGGATTACGAATTTACCCTTCAACTCTACCCAATCTTTATTAGTCGCCTGCACACTATTTGATTAATTGACATACCATAATCATATTAGTTGTAGTTAATCAAATTATGAATGTTTAACAATGGAGAAGATGAAAAAAATGTTTAACAATAGAGGAGATGAAAAACTGACTTTGCAATGCCTATGTATTGTTCACGTTGGTTTGCGCTTAAGACCCAAAGAGTTGCCCGTACGGTTTCACTGGTGATATTGTTGCCAGATATTCGAACCACAGCTGTTACTTCGTAGACACGCTTTCTCTGAAATCTTCCTGAAATCTCCTGTTCAATCCCGTTCCATGTGGCTTTGCGCTCTGTTGCGACGGCGAATACGTGTCCTGAGAGCGGCATGATTCTTCCTCCGTCTATGGACTCGTGTAAGACAGCATTGCACCCTCTTCCACTCCAGTTGTTGAGGCCGTCCTCAAATTTAGGGTTGAGAATTATGTTCTCTTGCCCTTCGTCAGTGTAATGCTGCTAAACTTTGAAACATTAGCATAGTATAATCAAGTAGAAACTAAATATCGACAAGGTTTTAGAATGAACCTGATCATCAAAATCATGGACAAGATTCATCTTTGTATTCTTCTCCATTTCATTAAAAAAAATCCAAATTTCAAGGTTCAAGCGCAAAAGAAAATATTTAAATGTTTTGAGCTGAGGAACTAGAGAGGTAAGTTGGTTAGGTCGTGGAAACTGCTCTTCTATATATGCTTCTACGTTAAAGAAAGAGCTAAGAGAGTTTCAAGTGGCCTCCAAGACAAGAAAGAGAGAATATTAAAAAGAAAAATCATTTTAATTGTGTGATTTGAAGAAGAAAAAGGAGAGAAAACTACAATTGCTTTGTCTTAAACCCAGGAAATTGCAGCTTGCTTGGATTGAAATAGAAGGCTTCAAATTTTGTCATAAAGCATGAGAAAGAATCGAAAGCTGAAGTTCAGATTTCGTTTTCTACATGTATGTTTTTTAAGACTTACAATGCAAGTAAACAATTTCTTAAATGTTTTATTCTCAGACGGTTCACACTGATACAACCAGATTGGCTTCTGACTTTATAGTACATTATGGCTTAAGCATTTGAGCATTTGTATCCACATTGAGAGGAAATAAGAATATATCAAAGGGCAACTAAAACATTTTGGAATGTGTTTGTTCTTTTGGCATGCTTCGACGGTATATACAAATTATTTATTGAACAGTTCGGTATAAATGAATTATTTCCCAAAACATGTTTTCCTAGGGCATTTATTATAAGATGAGAGTTTAGAATTTCAGGTTTATATTAGGTTTTGAAGACAACCATTAATAAATCAGATGTTCTTAAAAAAAACATATTATAAAATGAAATCACGTTGTTCGTAAGACTTAAAATGGGTTCTAAACCTGCAAACCACTATTTCTATTGCTTTTTTGATGAATTACAGTGGTTTTTTAGTGTCAGCTTGTCTAATCTTTCCAGAGTTCTTTAGAGATGCCAAAACACCAATCTGGTGCTCAAGTGGGAGAAGTCCCATTTCATAGTGAGAGAAGGAGTTGTTCTTGAAGGGCTACTAAAGAAGCATATGGTGAAGCTTAAGATAGCCACACCCTATCATCCTCAGACAAGTGGGCAAGTAGAGGTCTCAAATAGAAAGATTAAAGCTATTTTGGAGAAGACAGTTGGTGTTAAAAGAAAGGATTGGACAGCCAAGCTTGATGATGAACTTTGGACATATAGGACAGATTTCAAGACACCAATTGGAAGATCACCTTTCTTCCTTCTCTATGGGAAATCTTGCCACCTACCAGTTGAGATTGAGTACAAGGCAATGTGGGCTATCAAGTTGCTGAACTTTGACATATAGACAGCCTATGAGAAGAGGTTAATCAATCTCCATGAACTTGATGAAATCCGCCTTGAAGCTTTTGAGAGCTCCAAAATATATAAGGAAATGACCAAAGCTTTTTATCAAGTTCATGCTGCATTAAGATACATCTATACCAAGAAAGACACCAAGCCTAGACTGATGCGATGGATTTTGCTACTTCAGAAGTTTGACATGCAGATAGTGGATAAGAAGGGCATAGAAAATAGCGTTGTTGACCACTTGTCAAGAATGAGAATTGAAGGAGCTTATCCCTATTGATGACTCTCTTCCTGAAGAGCAGCTTATTGATATCTCTTGTATTTACATCATTTAGACCTGCATTTAGTGCATGTTTTGGTTCTCTTTTGCATGTTTTCCTTATCCTTTGTCCCATTTTCTTCTCTTTTTAGACTTTGATTGCATTTAGGATGTAGTTTGCATTTTCTTTGCATAAAAGATGTTTACAGGTACTCATTGAGCTACAAGGAGAATGGGAGATGATGGTGGGTGCAGCACAAGACATGAAAAGAGCCAAGAAGAAGGTGCACCCTGTTGAAACGGCCAGAAACTTCATCTGACAAAACTGGCTCGGACAAAGCATCTCCAACACGATTCAGCTTCAACAGTATTCGCCAATGTTGTAGCCCCGTGAGTTAGCTTGCGTCTGGAGTTGGGTTCAAGTCATTCCCATCAGTGTTTAGAAAGTTACAGAAGATTTCGTGAAACCGCTCAACCCCTATCAGTCTGTGCACGGAGGCTATTGGTCAGGAGTGACCGACATAAACCCAGCGAATGAATTTCGGTCACCAGTATCGGTCAGGAATGACCGACTTTAAACCCATCGGATGAATTTCGATAATCAGCATCGACCAGAAGTGATAGACATAAACCCATCGGATGAATTTCGGTCACCAGCATCGGTCAGGACTGACCGATAGTATTCATATCGACTGAAGATCGGCTCAGATGAGATGTTTCCGTTCCGATTTGGCTCCGGCGTCCTTCATCAACTTTGTAGCCAATTGAGTTAGCTTTCGTTTGGAATTAGTTGCGAGTCATTACCATCAGTGGTTGAAGAGTTACGGCGAACAAGGTGAGAACATGTCCATCTGGAGTTTTTACCGTTGATCTTGACCGACTTGAAGATCAGCTCGGACGAGTATCCTCCGCCCCTATTCAGCATCTTCACTCTTCATAAAAGGTGTACCCACGTGAGTTAGCTTTCAGTAGAACTTGGTTTCAGGTCATTCTGATATGCCGTTCAACAGATATCGTAAGTTTCGTGAAACCGCTCAACCCATATCGATCAAACGTATCGATCAATCAAGACCGATACAACTGACCGATATGATTCATATCGATCAGCCTAGACCGATACAACTGACCGATACGCTGCCAGACTGAAAACCATTTATTTACAATTTTGCCATTTTTGCTTAGACTCCTATAAATACTTAAAATCCCTAATTTCTGGAGAGACATCTCTTTATCCATCAGTCTCTTCTTCTTTGTTTTAGGTTTTTGGTTTTGTAATTTGAATCTTTGTTTATTTCAATAAAAGTTTTCATTTTCCTTTATTTTTTGTCTCTCTAATCATGATTAACAATCTTTTCTTCATAGATTTGATGGTTTTCACCATGATTAGTGAGTAGTTTGCTTTAGGTTTGAGATTTGGGCAGATGGGGTGATTGTGGTGATTGTTTAGGTTGATTAGGGCTTAGATCTTCTCATTCCCTTTCTTATATGATTGTGCTTAATGCTTAGTACCTCTTTGTTAGAGAATTTGATTTTAGGTTTCCACATGCACACCAAGTGTTTAAATGAAATTCCTGAATGAAGTTTAATGCTTGAAAATGGTGTGTAGATAATCATGAGTCTTTGCATCTATCATTTCCTGCTTGAATGTGCTTATTGCTTAGTACCATATTGATGAGAAATTGCCTTTAGACATTGATTATGCATGAGAATGTGAGTTGATGTTTGATATATCATATAAGAGATTAGTAAACCTAGTCTAAGAGATTAGATGTCTAGCATGCTAATTAGTTTTATGGAACTTGATTTTAATGCTTGATGATTATGTGTTTGAGTAAAGAGATTTATCTTGAATATGTGATTAGAAAAGGGATTAATGCCAAGAGATTGGATTATTCTATATTAGTGTTTGTTACCTAAGGTTGAGTGTTTAGAATTGCTTGTTTTGATCACCCTAGACATGAACATGAATCACCCTATCACCATTGCCTTGATCTTGAACCATCTTTTCATCTTTGAAGTTTAATTTTACTTTGTTTTAGTTCAGCTTTTACTCTGTTTTTGCTCTGTTTCTTATTGCCTTTATTGCTCTTTAGTTGCTTCCTTTTGCTTCTTTGCTTGATCACTTAGGTTGTTAGACATCTAAAACCATCTTTATCTGCTTGAATTAAGATCTCTATTGCATTCTTACTGTTTCATTCTCCCCTTTTGGATTGATAAAACCCTATGCTACTACAACTGATTAGTACAAGCTTGGGTAATTGAATCAAGTCCCAAAAAGTCTTGTATCAACTTGGCGCCGTTGCCACTAGGGGAATGCTTTGTTCAGTAGGATTTGTAGAGATCTTGAGATCAAGCTTTGTTATTTTCGATTTTGGTTACTAATTTCTCTTTTGGTCTAGAATTTCTTTTGTAGGTACCACAACACTTGTTCTTAAGTGTCTACAACTGCAACTGAGGTTCAAGGTCAAAGATTTTGGGTTTGCAGAATCAGAATTCAGCTGTTGAAGCATGGAAGAACATCAGTATGCTTCTGGTTTTGGTTTTCAAGGTCCACAAGGTCTTCAAGGGATCCAAGGCTTACAAGGACAGCAAGGTCAACATGGTTTACAAGGAACTTTGTTTCAAAGACCATTGAGACCTATTGGTGCTGCTGATATACCTTCAAGTTATGCTTCAAGACAAGGTATTCTTCCACCAATAGAGACTCATCACTATGAGATCAAGAGCAGCATGATCACTATGGTTCAAGAGCAGAAGTTCTTTGGATTGCCCAACCAAGATCCTCTTGAACATTTGGATCACTTTGAGAGGATATGTGCTTTGACAAAGCTTAGTGGAGTTTCAGATAATGGTTTGAAGCTCAGATTATTTCCATTCTCTCTTGGTGGTAGAGCTCAAATGTGGGAAAAGTCTTTAGCACAAGGCAGCATCAACACTTGGGAACAATGCAAATGTGCTTTATTAACCAAGTTCTTCTCTCCTTCAAGAACTGCAAAATTCAGGAATGAGATCACAAACTTCAAACAGTGGTCTAATGACAGCTTTGGAGACACTTGGGAAAGGTTTAGAGGCTTCACTCATCAATGCCCTCACCATGGCTTCACCAAAGAAATGCTACTCTCCACACTATACAGAGGTGTTCTCCCAACAATAAGAATCCTTCTAGATACTGCAAGCAATGGTTACTTTCTTGGTAAAGATATTGATGAAGGATGGCTTCTAGTAGAGAACATGACACTCAGTAGTTGGGATTATGTTGATGATAAAGAGCAACACTCAAAGACAACTGAAGAGAAGCTAGAGACAGCATTGTATGAGATGAAAGTCTTGCAAGAGAAAGTTGACTTGCTGATCAATGAGACCACTAAACCTATTCCTAGTGTTGCTCCACAAAACCACTACAAAGAGAATCAAATCAAAGCTGTTCAACTACAAGTTAATGATGAATCAACACCATGATGTTTGTATACACCAGTCCTATGGAGACAATCATACTCAACATCATAAAGGTTCCTCTTCTCAAACAGTTGGCATCACCACTTCTCCACCTTCACATGATTTGGACTATAAAGAGATGCTCCTCCAACTCCAAAAACTTAATAATGGAGGATTTCAGAAGATGATGGCTGCTGAAATTCAAAGAAGTATGGCTGAAATTTAGAGAAGCATTGCTGTTGAAATTCAAAG